GAAATCACTGCACAAAAGACAGCACAAAAAGGTAATTTATGTGAGAACATCAAATCAGAAGGTAAACACTTTAATGAAAATGAAATGAAAATGAAAACACATCCACTCTATTCTACATGAAAATAAATAAAATTAAGTATTTTTATGTCTATGAAAATTCCTATCCTATTTTAAACACCAATCAGTATAAAACCCTGTTATCTTGCATCCGGATAATTTGATGGCATTGTTAGAGACTTCCTTCCAGCTGCAAACTGCCTACAAATCAAATGTAGTTTTGAATCCTGTATTTAAGCAGTTAAAAAATACTGATACTCAAAACTAAACACTGTCCTGCTCTAAGTACTGGTATACAAGCACTGACATTCAAGTCCTGTATTGCCATTTCTAGTCAAGGATGAAGAATTGGGAACGGCTGACACCACTGTAATGGCATTGCTTCCTATCCCCCAACACAGGAGTACACAGCTGCATAAACACATAGGAGGGCCTGGAGGGCATCACACATTTTAAGAATTTAAATAAATAAAAATAGAAACTTCAATGGAAACTGCCATAAAATGTCTTAGTCTGAAGAAAGGGCACTTTCTGAGATTTGATGGTAAGCATATAAAATACTTATCTAGAGCAAGACAGCACAGACACTGAGCATTGAGGCATCTCCACCTTTTCCAGTACAGTATATTTAATCTTGAGTTAAAGCAAGAAGGCCACAAAAGTTAGTTTCAAATAGCAAAGCAATTTTTAAAATAATGCCAAAGCATCCTTCTGTCAAGAACCAAATATAAAACTAACTTGCATTTTGTAAGTCCATAGAAATATGTCAAACACTTATATATACTGAATTCAGCCATCGTGCTAATTCATTTTACCAAGTCTTTGTGCCAAAAAAGATGACAACATATAAGATAAAAAGGCAAAATATAAGATAAAATTCATGTCTTATGTTACACTATTTTGGTTTGTGGACATAAACATTCATATTAATCAGTTTCAGTTCTATGGATTTAAATTTTAAATGTCTTGGTTATAACAAGCAATTTCCATTTTGACATAATTTACAAGGTACTTACTGCATCTAAAAAAAATAAAAACTAAAATAAAATTTAAAAAAATGAAAAAAAAAAGGCCTGAAACAAGTGAAGAAGTGGGATAATTCACGCATTAAAATGCAATTCAGGTTAAAGAACAAATCAATCTAAATACAGCTAAAAATGCTTTCTCAACATATCTTTTGTAAGCAAAATGCATAATGTCTTTACTTTTTCTTCTTTACACAGTTCTTCAGAAGACAATTATATATTTTATTTGATTTCATAGATACAGTTACAGAATGACAGAATATTAACTGAAGTGAGAAATTGGGAGCCTTTCCAAATTTCTTTTCCCCTCAACTCTAACTAGCTCAAGTACAGGTATTTTGGATATGTTCAATGATTTACTCCACAGACCCTAACAACTGACTGATGAATCCTAAATTAAACTAGACAGAGAATATGACTCTAGCCAAAGTACTCTTACTACCACATATTCCACTATAGAGGTGGACATCATTAAAGTGTCCAATTCTATTGTCACGAAAGTCACTGGAAGAACAGTAACAAATACTGAGAAAGAATGCAGTTCCAACACCTCCAGCCAACAGCAGTTATCTCTCACACTAGGAAATACACAACAGCAGACTGTTTAAGTGTGCTGTTATTCCCCTGAAAACCCTCTGTTGTAGTTCATGAGAAACTGGGGCCTGCTGTGAGAGTCACCAATCTAGAATTCAGGCTGGAAACAGCACAGTATTTATTTTTTCACTGAAACAGAGGAAAACAGGCAGCTTGGCAAAACAAGGCATGGTTGCAGCTTTATTAGGGAGAGTGGAAGACAAAAGAGAGAAATATTTTATTTTCTATGAAAACAGCAGCAGCATCAGATCCTCTCTTTCAAAAGGTGTCGCTGGTCTCTTGTCAATGGATTTCTGCAGGAAACAGAGCCAGAATGCACTCCTGGTGCATGAAGGGATCTGACAGTTCTGCCGGCTTTTCTATTCCTTCCACATGAAGGAATCTGACTGTCCCACCCATCCAGAACCCTCCTCTGACACTGCTCCTATGCCATTCCCACATCATGACACACACTGGGACTAGAGAAGACTGTAAACAGGGCCTTCAAAATGCCCAATCCTTTTCCAAGAGCAACAAGGTAGGTAGAGTCTGAGCAAAAGCCCAACATCAACAGTGTAGGGATGAATGCCTGTAGTCCCTGCTGATGTTACATAACATGATTAGTTCACCTTTCTGAACTTAAAGTGCAGGTAAAGCTATTTCAGTTTAGAGTAGCTTAAGAATATCAGAGGATAAAAATCAGTACAGGCATATCCTAAGTACCCAGTGAAATAGCAGACAATAAAACTGTGTAAATCTAAGCAGAATTCCTATGTGTCCTTTATTAACTGCTTTAGGACACATGAGGTAGCAAAAGCAACCCTTGACAGGATCATCAGCTTTTGAATTCAGGGAGAAAAGCAGTTAAACATCTATCCAGCCCTTACAATTAGAAGGATTGTTCCTCCCCTCTGGAAAGCTAATTATATTTTTTGCCTTTACTCATTTTACATCTCTCTTTCAAATCCAACATCACAGGTTCATCCATAGTTAAACCCTCTGAAAAACTTCTTTAACAATGTATCTCTAAATGGGAGATATACTTTGGCCTATAGCAGTTAAAAATATGAAACAGACAAAAGAAACAACTGAACAAATTCTGTCTCTGAAGTGTTTTCCATTCAGAAAGCAGCACTGCTCATACAGTTGTAAACAACTAAGTTAGAAATTGCAAGCAACAGAATAACTTAATGACAAGTTGAGTAAAAATCTGTAACTTTAGCAAAAACTTTGCATGAACTTTACTGGCTCTTACAGGTTCACTGCATTTATTTTCCATATTATCAGGGTGAAAAAAATCCATATTATAGGTTGATAACCAGTGTAATATAAGCACAACTGAAATCTGATTAGCAACTTCAGGAATTATTTTCAGTCATTTCAGAAAAAGGTGTCTACATTAGGATATCCTTATTGGTTTTAAATACACTAGACATAAATACATAAATACACAAGACATGCATACAGAACAGTCTACTAAATAATGAAACCTAGGAAACTGCACAGATCTGGGGCACCTGCTGAGTGAAAACATAATTATTCCTTAAACTTGTTTAATATAAAATAATAGTCCCATACTCTGTGTATAAGAATTCCATTTAGCTATTTAGATATACCTTGAAGAAGCCTTGACTTAAAAGATACCCTCAGAAATCTCATGCAAAGACTTAAGTATAAGGTTTTTAAATACTACTTTAAATACATCAGAAGTTTTTAAAAATTATAATTAAATAATCAGAAGCACTTATTTCAGATAAAGGTCCCATTGAAGCGCAACTTGAGAGGTGAAATGAGGACTAGCAATGAGAAACGGCTCCTTTCAGCATGGCAATAGTTTGAGAAATTAACCCCAGACTTCACTTTCAAAGGAAGATTCTTAACATTATCACAGAATCATAGCTCAGAGATGAGCTCAAGTTAAAATTCTGTCAAAAACATCTATTTTTGGAGCACATATGGATGGTCAGCTGGATTAAGGAGGCTCTCTTACATGATTTTATCATATAGATAAGGTTAATGATCAGGTACCAAGTGCAGTGCTAGAGGTAGCATAGCAAAAAACCTTCAGGAGCTAAAAATACTGCAGCAACAGCAACAAAACTTACTCAAAAGGAGATAAATTAGTTACAGTAAAACATTTAAATAGCTCAATCTTTCAAATTATCAGAAAGGTCTTATCAAGAATAAATATTTTACACTGGAATAAATTGCCAGGTAATAACAGATACCACAATGAGTAACAGATATGATAATGAAACAAAGGAGGCAAAAGAACCTCAGATGGAAACAATAGCCATGTTCAATTCAGATATTTATTGAAGATAAACTCTGCAAGGATACCTCCTCCTAGAACAGCTTAACAGTAGAACCGACAGATTCCTCATTTCTTAACGTGTTCTTATCAGATTCGGATACCATCAGACTTCACTGAAACAACTTACTGGACTCATTAAATAAAAAGCAAGCAGTTCTTCACCCTCTGTTACAGGTCTGGATAGATGATCTAAGTAGACATTCTGGTATTAAAGTGTATGAAACTAGCAGAGCATTTCTACATAATGATTAAATATAAAGACAACAATATTTAAAGATATTACATCTCTTTACAAGGCATAAATTATGAGTTAATCTCATATTTACTGGCTAATATTGTTGAAAATTCTTATGGAATTTAAAATATTACTTTTCCCTCCGCCCTCTACTTCAACAATGAAATTGGTAGATAAGGACATATAGTTTAAACATATAGTCAAAAATTGTAACCAGAAACTACTGGAACATGAAGTAATAGAACTAAGAATGAGTAAACTGCTTTTCTCAAATACCAATTCTTTCTCTTGACAGTAAGAAAAGAAATTATTGAGGAAAAATAATTATCGCAACAAGAGGTCAGCAACATAAAGAGTTTTGTCTGGACAAACAGTAAGACAGAAGACATGACAAAGGATGAAGGCTGAGAACTGAAGACTGGAAGCTAATATTGGATTGAGTAGTTAAGCAGATGGACAATAAGAAACCTGAAACCCAGAATCAATGCAGGACATTGATTAGGCATAATCCAATGTTTCGCTTCTCTGAAGAGAAAGAAGGGAATACTGACATTAACTTTGAGTGAGTGTTCATTTTAATACTATAAGCTATCATGACATCAAGTGCTTGCCTTTGAGGGACAAGACTGAAGACATTAAATGTTTCTAAGTAGTGGTGATCATTGAAAGTTTTTTCTCTTATTATGGTGATTCTCAAATGACACTAAAGCAATAGGTTCAAGAAAAACCACTCACAAAGATACTGGCATGTCCAACACACATTACCAGAGTTATGGAGATTTAAAAAAGTACTTACTTGGTATGTGTCCCATAACCTGATGGTACACCGTAAAGGGACTTCTCTCATCAGCAAGTTATTCATCCAACGGAAAGCAAATTGCAAGTATTTCACCTCATGCTGATCCAAGTGCCTATGAACTTGTTCTGAAGACAGAATAAACAGGTATTTTACTGCAACTTTTCTGAAATCTTGAAGTATCAAGTGCAGTGTCTAAAACAATAAAACACTCCTCCAATCTCAAGCAAATAACTTGTGGTGCTGCATGCAAATTCTCACAACCAAATGAGAACACCCAGAATATAAATTAGTTAAACATTACACTGGACTGATTTTTCTGCCAGTAGATGGATTAAATAATTGGTCTGAATAGCACTATCTTAATAAAACATTAAGATCAGAGTTTTACAATATACCACAAAAATATACAAAGTTATAATGTCAAATTATTAGGTACATATATCCTCATTAATTTCTTAGGCTACAAATATTTGGGGCAATGCCACAGGAAACATGGTTTCCAAATAATATAATGGCCACCAAAAATAAAATCAAATAAATTTTTTGGCAATCAAAAAAGAAAATTATTACATTAAGAAGGTAAAGAAATATAAGGAAAGGACATGTAAAGGTTGCATTCGAGACATGAAAAAGTGAGATTAATGTGTAGGAAATACAGTGAGAAAACTTAACTAATTTGCAGCTTAAATAATTTCTTAGTATTTCAAATAAATCCAAATAAAACAAATACAAATCAATGGTTTCTAAACCAGTACTCTCACACACTGTGTTTATTGTAGAACATATACTATTTGAATAATATATGTGATAATCACTTGCATGGGTTATTGCTAGAGCTAATAGAACTAATCTACTACATGTTTTGTCTATATTGAGAGAATTTTCTGCAAAAAGGATCACAGACATTCTGTTAACAGGCTTTAGTTAACAGGCTCAAATATGACATTAGCACGGGGTAAATGACAAATACTGCAGAAATGCTAATGTCTTATTTTGGAGAAATTTTGTCATGAAGTTTTTTTAAAGCCTAAATAAGACATTCCTATTGTCTTTCTCTATACAAATACATTCTTTGGAGATTTTTGCTGCCCAGGTCATCCCTTCATCCAAATTCACAGAGGTATATTATCAGATCAAACAGTGAGTAAATGCCCATCTTCTAAATTTTACAAATCTAAGAAATATCTAAAAAGGCACTAAACCACTAAATTAATTAAAATAATAATCCCCAGAGTAGCACTATTACAGGAAATATTACTTAGAGATTAAAGTAACAGAATTAATACTAAATTATAATAAAGACTGAAGCTTTTAAATTTTTTCCCCTCAAGATGTATTTTTTGGCTATATGGAAGTGTCAGCCAATATAAAACAGTTGTTTAGATATGGAAGCTGGGAGTAGAAATCTTTCAGATTTCGAAAACAATCAAAATGAGTTGTTTTTTTTTAAAAAAATAAGACACCACAACACATTACTCCAAAGGTCTCCTTATCACATCTTGTCTCCAATGATAACTGAAAACAAATATCAATGAAAATGTATTAAGTACTGGTATTTCTTCATAGCACTTGTCACCCTCCATTTATCTGTGGCTAAAGCAGTCTTCAGCAGACCTGGTATCTATGCTCCTACAGTCATACCCTTCCACAATACAAATATAAACACAAATACAGACAAATTCTTAAATTGTGAGGCCCAGAACTACACACCATGCTCAAGGTGATGCTGCACCAACACTGAGTGGGATGATCAACTCTTTTGACCAGCTGGCAATGTTGTATTTGATGCACCACGGGATGGGATTTGCCCTCCTGGCCAGGACAAACCAGATCTCTTTCTTCAGGGCTGTTGTCCCACCCTTCCTCTCCCAATCTATACCTGTGCTCAGAATTACTTCATCATGGGCACAGAACTTGTAACTAGTTCTTTTTAAATTTTCAAATCTTAAATAAATCATTGATGACTGCCCAATGCTCCAATCTAACAGGATGCCTCTCCAAGGCATCTTGTTCCTCAAGAGTCAACAGTGCCCCCCAGTATATTATCATCTGCAAACTTGGTGATGGTGCATTCAACCCCTGCATCCAGATGACTGATAATATTGAATAGAGCTGGCCTTAGACTTGGACATTTAAGGACATCACTGGTGAATGCTCACCTGCCAAATGTAGCCTCACTTTGAGCCCTGTCCACTGTCACTTCTCCACCCACTGCACCATTATTAGATCACTTATTTACACCAAAGGATGAATTACTATTGTGTGTGTGCCTTTGCTTTAGAAAAAATTAGCTGCAACTTAAATAGGCTGAAGTGAGATACTGGGTTGTATTTATTATTTGAATATCACATTTGGATACCTACATTACAGACTACTATGATTTGATAATCTAGCACATCAAGCAGGATGCAAAAAAAAAGCAATTTTATTTCTAAGCAAAGTTACTAACTCACAAAATTTTTGTTCTTCACACAGCAGAAACAATTTTCATTTGGTTGTTTGTAGCCATTAAAAGTAAGTAATGAAGAACAATAAATTGTGCCAGTTGTGATATTTCAACTATGGTAGTTAATGGGCACAATGAATTTCTTGAAAGTTGCTTTCTAGTCTAAACAAGTTGAAAAATGGATTACTAAACTCTGTGCTTTATACCTAATTGATGCAAGACTGGAATAGAAGATGCACTGAGTAAAGAAGCTAATTATTCCTACTTTGTAAGTAATTGTAAGCAGAAGTTAATTTGCTGATAAAGGTAATTTGGACTGGCATAATCTAAATCTAAATTTTCCATTTCAATGAAAATAAGTATGTATGTGCAATGAACAAGAAGATATATAATTACTGTCAGCTTTAAGACTTCAAGTATTTTATAAAAACTACTTCTACTGCAGTTTCTGAAAGCAATATTATTTTATCATTTAAAAAAAATAATTCTTTAATCAAAATTCAAAACAAATGAAAATTACATTTACTAAGTTTCCCAACACTTTCAATAAATCTACACAAAGTTTGCATGTAGGAAGTCTTCTGATTAAAGAATAAAATACATTACAGAGATGCATTCCAAAGTAGCATACTGTCAAAAACAGGTAACCTGTAGACAAAAAACATTTATAACTTTTCATATTTTTACTAAATACACTTATTGGTACGTTATTTTGAATGATCATATTTAGCCACCTTTAACAGATTCTTCTCATACCAGATGGGCCTATACACATAAAATATTTATTCTTCATGTTCAATGTCAGCATCTCATGCTATTTCACTGAATTCAAAATTAAAATCTGCATGATTACAGAATCATGAACCAAACAGAAGGACAGAAACAACTGGAGGATGGTGTTAGAACGAGTCCCTAGGCAAGCTTACACATAAGCAAAGAAAAAACGCAAAATAATGTAACATTATGCCTGAATTGCCAAACTACCGTAGCATAGCATGGTGTCACCACAGCCATTTGTACAGTTCAACATTTCAGAACATTAGCCCTTAGGTGCTCACCTTTACTAAAAGATTCCTATCAATCAATCTTAGCAATAGCTTCTGACATTTGACCTAGTTGTGAAATTTTGAATATTACTTAAAGTTTATTTTTCAGTCATATTTCATACCCTGAACACTTTGTTTTTAACTCTATTTTATCAATATTTTATACACATTTCATTGTAAATATAAAAAGCACTAAGTGTTAAAAAGTACCTGAAAAGCTAACAATCTCTCAGAGGCTTTTTAGTTCAACAAAAGAAAAGTATTTCTCATGAAAAGCCACACCATTTTTCTTAAAAAGTGCAAGAGTAACTGCTCTGATACAAAAGCAAAAGGAAAGTAAAATAATGAGCCAATCTTTGCCACAGGAGCTTATTGACATTGCCCTTTGCATGCACAATGATTTTTTTTGTATTGATCCTTAACGTACAAAAACATGCTATAGAAACATGTCAGCACTCCTCTTTTCCACAGAATCATATAATCATTTAGGCTGGAAAATACCTGTAAGATCTTGATACTAAACCATTAACCTAGCACTGCAAGGCTCACCAATAAGCCATGTTCCTAATGGCCACATCTACACATCTTTTAAATACCTCCAGGGATGGTGACTCCACCACTTCCCTGGGAAGCCTTTTCCAGTCCTTGATAATCCTTCTGGTGAAGAAATGTTTTCTGATTTCCAATCTAAACCTCTCCTGCCACAGCTTCCTCTTGTCATTTTCTCCTGTCCTGTCACTTGTTATTTAAGAGAACTGACCAACCCCCACCTGGCCTCTGTTGTAATGCAGTTAGGAAAAATGGTATGACCCAAAAAATGTACCCCCCGAAAATGCAGAATTCCAAATTCCTTTCCCTTATCTTGTTCTCCCCAATTCTCCTTATCGGTTGTGTAAATTCCCTCCACCCCTTTCTCCCTGCCTTCAAAAAGGAGTGCCCATCAATACCTCTTCCTCTTTCCCTCCTGCTACCTCACTCTGTAGGATCCCAAGAAATAAAGCTGTAAGTGCCATCTCAGCAAAGGGAAAGAGCTCATTTTTAGGTTCTTCTTTGATAAACTAATCTATCTCCCCTGTCTCCCCGGCTGCTGCGGGGCGGACAGTGGTGGCAGAGAGGCAGGGGACGTTAGAAATCATAGCAGGCCTCGTTTCAGGCAGTTGTAGACAACAATAAGGTCTCCCCTGTCCCCCTTTTCCAGGCTAAACACTCCCAGCTCCCTCAGCCACTCCAGAGCCTCCCTCAGCTCCACTGCCCTTCTCTGGACATGTTTCAGCACTTCAGTGTCTTTCTTGTTATGAGGGGCCCAAAACTGAACATGGGATTTCAGGTGTGGCCTCACCAGTGTTGAGAACAGGAACTATCACTGCCCTGGTCCTGTTGGCCACGCTGTTTCTGATATGAGCCAGGATTACACTGGCCTTCTTTGCCACTGGGCACATGCTGACTGATGTTCATCCAGCTGTTGACCAGCACCCCCAGGCCCTTTTCTGCAAGGCAGCTTTCCAGCCAATCTGCTCCACCCATAGTGCTGCAGGGAGTTGTTGTGAATGAAGAGCAGGACCTGGCATTTGGCCTTGTTGAACCTCACACAACTGGCCTTGCCCATTGATCCAGCCTGTCCAGATCCCTCTCC